GAATCTAACATGCACTGTAGAGGAACGACTTCGCATCCTACCAAAGGCTGCCTCATCCAGGCTCCACAAAAGGGTCTCCAGGATGCACCAAACTACTTCATCTACGTGTAGACGTGTACTCGCAGGCTTTCTAACCCGGTTTTTCTCAAAGCGATGGCCAGCGCTTCGCTCCCACCAACACATGCACAGCACAAAACGGTTTCTAGGATGCACCAAACTACTTCATCTACGTGCACGTGGCGCGCCAACACCTGCGCAGAGAACTGCGCTCTGCCCACTCATTTGCCCTGTGCACCACAAGGGGCCTCCCCTGCAAGTAGCAGTACATTAGATAGTAGTAGTACAATACGAGGGTTTAGGGGTTCCTAGAGCTGTCGGGGTTTGGGGATGACAAAAGCTCGAAACCAAGCCCCGATCACTCCAAGATAATTACCACCACAAAAATCTTTGCATGCTGTAGTAGTACAGTCGTAGTATAGTAGTAGTACAGTAGTAGTACAGTGGTAGTACAGCAGTAGTACAGCAGCAGTACAGTAGTAGTATTGCAGTAGCAGTACAGCAGTAGTACAGTAGTAGTACAGTAGTAGTACAGTAGAAGTACAGTAGCAGTACAGAAGTGGTACAGTAGTAGTACAGTAGTAGGACAGTCGTTTTGCAGTAGTACAGTAGTACAGCAGTAGTAGTACAATAGTAGTACAGTAGCAGTACAGTAGTAGTACAGTATGGTTAGAGTTTGAGGGTTTAGGATTTCGGGTTGTGGTTCGAGAGTTTAGGGTTTAGGCAGTTTAGGCTTAAGGGTTTTTTTAGCCTTTAGGGAGAGTTTCGGGCTTCAGGTCCAGGGTTTCAGGGTTGGAGGGTTTTAGGTCGTGGCTGCTTTAAGATTGACCATACTTGAAAGGAAAAAACACAACCCAAAAAAAAATGGTGCCAAAAAAACGCATTATTTAGGCCGGCCACTTTTTTAGTACCGGCTCGAATAATAAGCCCGGGAAAAGACGCATTAAAGAGGCCCATTGAATTAAATGCGCCGGCACATTACCAGGTTTAACTATATCCCTTATCGTGTCCGATTGGTTGACGCGGATGGCGAAAACTGGCTGCCACAACTTGGCTGGTGTGGGATAATGTCTTGATTCGGTGCCATACTCGGCATGCAAAAAAATTTTGCAGCTACGGAGTCTGACAGCATTAACCACCGTGCTTGATTTTTGCTTCATGTTACGTCTCGTCCGACCGGGCGTTGGATCGAAGCGCTTGGTGGATAAGATCAATATGTAACATGTTCCGATTTAGATACCGTTCCATTGCCCCGCAACTATCCGAAGACATGCCCTCATGTGTAGGCTGGGCAGGGCCGACATGTGCAGTTTCGGTCACCTTTGTAGCATCCCTGATAGATGGCCCGACATCAAACTTTCAAAGCAGCCATCGTTTCTCTATTGAGATACGCAAAGACAGCTGATTATTCGTCCATCTTCGGCGCCCTTATTGTGGTTGTCGCGATGTCTGAGAAGGACTGGTCTGGCGGATTCGCCAACAAAGCGAAACTCACGATTCCCGAAATCCTAAACCCTCCACCTCAAACCCGAAATCCGTAGCCCTTGTATCAAGCCTTCACATCCGGAGGAGTCCCTGGACCAGCTTCTGCATCGCTTTCTGTCTCAGAAAGCCACCACGGGCTTCCGTGTCGCAGCAGATCCGCAGGGCAACCCGGTGCTTGTGCGCGTGGGGAGCGATGGCACCTGCGATTTGCTTTGGGTCAAGAGCGGGACCTGGGGTCTGCACCTCGATGGAAAAAGGTACGGTGGAAGCAAAGCCGAAGAGCTCCGAATCGTTCGGGAGCTGTATGGAGAGGTGCAGCAGCAGGCGGCCCGGGGCGCTTGCCAAGCGGAGGCGGACAGCTTGGAGGAGGACTTGCTGAGGAGAATGGAGGAGCCCCTGGAAGACACTCCCCAAGCGAGGCTCTAAGGCCCCCCTCTACGACTCAAATGTCCATGCGTTGGACGAAAGGTTGAAGGTGTCAAAGATTTAATTTAGGGTTTTGGGCTTAGAGTTTTAAAGTTTAAGGTTTCAAGATTGAAAACTGCCTGAACTTGCAGACGCCGCGCGAAATGCAGGCGATACAAAAACTTGGAGCACCCATCTGCCAGGGAAGCCGCGGTTTAGGGTTTAGGGAGATTCAGTTTTTCGATCGAAAGCTCTTCTGCCAGAAAGATTGACATCTGACATCACCTTCGAAATGTAGAAATTCTTTCGTTATGTAGGGGAGCCCGTTTGTCATCGTCTCTATACAGGGAGTGTGTATTGGGTACATATAATGTATATCATACATCAATAGTAATACGAATGAAAAATGCATCGGCAAAACGGTCTTTCTTTTATATATTCGGCGAGCCTGCAGTTCTCAACCTTCCTCTTCACACTGGTGCAGGTTGCAGAGGGGTTTAGGGTTTAGGAGTTTACGGTTTAGGGTTTAGGGTGGCATTGGGGATGTGTTTTTTTTTGGAAGTGCTTCTGCTCGCCGGTGCCAGCGTACAGCTCACCAGCCTGATGGATTGTTTCGAGGAAGTACGACGAACCTGCAGCTTACACTTACAACAGAAGCGCATTCGGCGGCCTTTGCGTTTACAGTCAGCTTGTCCCTGTCTAGCTTTCGTCGTGCGGCCATGCGTGATCTTTTCTGGTGATAAGTGGAAGGGCTCATTCGACAGACGTTTGACAAAAGCCTGCCGCTGCTTCCAATCCTGCCCAGCCAATGGCGAAAAGATAAATGACTGGCTACACATTCTTCTGAGCCTTTTTGGACTGCCTATCATTGCTTTGGATAGTTGACATTCTCTACCATGTTTCCGAGTGAGCATTGCAACTCATGCTGGACCTGTACTGTGTATAGAACAGCTTCGTTTCGACAGGTGACTTAAAGCAGCCTATTGGCATGAGGCACCGCCATGTTTGGATGAGTTGCAAGCCACCTGTGCTTCGCAGCCTGAGCTACTGCAGCTGGGGCCCAGGCGACCTGGCCAAACGGCGGAACTTGCGCAGGGTGTTGTTGTAACCCAGCATGGACAGGGAAGCATTATGGGATTTAAACCTTAAACCCTAAACCTTACCTAAACCCTTAACCGTCGGTAGCTGAGAGATGCTGAGAACAAGATTTGTTGCTGTTTTGCCCCTAGCCGGCCTGGTACTTCTGCCAGAGAGTTTCAGTGTTTCCCCCCGCAACAGAACGTCCGAGGTTGCAACCTCTGAGGTGTTGAAACGCACATTTTTAGTCAGACGTGGAGTGTCTGTTGTAAGTTTGCAGGCGGATGGCATAAGTCCCTCGCGGCTTTCCATGATCTCAACACAGGTGTTGGGTGAACGTGTATTTCAATTCAGCTTCAAAGGTTCTGAGACAAGAGTCGTCATGTTGTGACTGTCTCGTTCCCGGCATGTTGAGAGACATTCCTTAATTTGTGATGACAGGTTCGCCGCGGTCGTGGCTCTGCGCGAAGCCACAGCCCGGATCAGGGACGGCCCCAGGAGTGGAAACGAAAGTGCCGCAGATCCGGCAGATGTGCGGATCTATGGAATCTACGGACTCCTGATCAAAGAAGCGGCGCAGATGCGCAGGCGGGGGCTCTCCGAGATTATGACAGATCACTCTCGCCCGTTTCACCTACATTCGCAGACACGTTTTTTTTTTGCGAATGCGCATCTTCCCGTGCTGGCCTGGGGGGACTGACCGACAGGCTGGCAAGCGCAGGAAAACTGTGCGCTAATGTTTCTGGTGACTCTGCCTATGCTGCTGGTACTCGCTCCGCAAGTGCTCCTTCGAGCATGAAGTCGGCCGAGACTGAAGCAAGCAGATGTGTGGGCTCGGATTGCAGTTAGCCTGTCGCAGGTTGTGACCTTAGGGCATGGTCCAGAGGCGTTTCTGCTGGGGGCAGGCCGTGACCCACCAGACGTTGGATGAACACTTGAGGACACTCTTTGCGTTCTTACCGAGCCCATGGACCAAAGCTAGGTTTCCCGACAGAGCTATTTCGACAAATTTGGACCAGCATTCCAGTGCTCTGTATGGCTGCGATCTCGCACAATGTCTTCGCCGGAGCATCTCTATTCAGTCTGACTCGTCACCGTGAAGTATAAACAGTTCCTTTTAGAGTAGCATGAGGCAGCGCCATGTTTGGATGCGTTGCAAGCCACCCGTGCTTCGTTGCTTGCGCTTCTCCAGCTCGGGCCAAGGCGCCATGACCAAGCTGTGGCATGCCTTGGGTGTTTGCATTAGGCGCAGGGTGTAAGATTGTAGTTAAAGCGCAGGCTTGACTGTAACGCGAGCAACGAGATGTTTCTACACCTTGCCAAGATTTGTGTAGCTTGTGATTCCTTGGTCGAGCCTGTGGCAGTTCTGGCATGACTTCGAGATGTGGATAGGTCTAGTCCAGTACTTTCCCCTGGGATTCCGTAGCATCGGAGTTCGGTTGCACCCAAGCATCGGACCCCAGACCCGGCCAGCAGTCCGATCCCACGCATAGCGTGAGTCTGAACGTGTGTTGCCGTCACTTTCAGAGGGGCCTAAGCTAGAGTCGCTAACTTGTGGCCGCTCCGTGTTTATCACGGGAAGCATCAGGCACATCCATGATGCGTTATGACCGGCTGCGTCGACAGGTTCCCTGCAGTCGTGGCTCCGTGTGAAGATAGGCCGCTCCAGCACCGACACAGAGGCAGGGGACGGCCGAGCTGTTGGTCCCAAAGGAGCTAGGGTTTAGGGCTTTTTGTGATCTCGAGATTGAGGCTTACGTGTTCGGGTTCCATTCTGGAGCCTTTGTGGCTCTGTGCAGAGGGAAGCAGATTTTGAAGGGGTGCTGAATGAGATATCATCATGTAGTGCATTCTATCTGACGCCCTCAGCAATCGCATTCTTGAATTGCTCCACTCTACCTGGTCATGGGCATTCTCCACATACCCAGCATTCTCGCCGGTTGTGTTGCAACCCTACAGCTTATAGGCTTACAGCCTCTGCATGAAGTCAGAGCAAGAACCATGTAAACCCGCGCATGAAACCCCCAACCCTAAGCTTAAACCCTAAACCCCAAACCTTAAGCTTAAGCCCTTGAACCCTGCACCCGAAAGCGTAGCTTTTCGGTCCTGCACTTTGAAGCTCTAGAGCCCTAAGCTCGGAACTTTGAGCCCTGAGCCCTTAAAAACCCTTAAAGCCCTGAATCCAAACGGTGCCTTACACCCTCCTTAGCCCTTAAAGCCATTTAAAGCCCTTGAAGCCCCCGACTTCCGACTTCGCCACGACAGGACCTGGAGTCCCAAAGGCGCCTCGCGGAGGCGCGCGGACGACGCTGGGACGACGAGGACGAAGGGGGCGAAGGGCGAGGACGAGGACACGCTGACGACGACGACATGAACAAAAACGCGACGAGGAGGAGGACGACGTCGGACGTCGCCGACGACAAGGACGACGGCTTCTACTGCCGCAACTACAAAGCCTGCCACTTCTGCTAGCGACAGCAATTCCAATTTTCTTGACATGGTGGTAGCAGCTGCGCCAGGGTCGAAATCACAACAAGATACCAATGACCTCAAACGTAACTCGGCGAAAAGAGAGAACAGACCGACCACACTCACTGGCTGTGTGGTGAGAACTAGTAGGAAAACCTGACAATGCAAGCACGCACACGGATAGCTCCAGCAAGAGTTTCAAGAGCAAGAGCATGAAGTAGCATAACGATTACAGAATATTTCGACGACATCGTTGCACTTTCAGGTTTGCTCCGGTTTTCAGGTATTTTTGGGTTTCGACGTGTACGGTTGGCATGCATTCGTTTCTGCGTTTTGCGACGGTGCACAGATTGCATCTATCACAGTGTGTGCTGTCAGGAGGTAACAGCTGCAATCCAGAACCCTGAACACCCAGTCGGCCTGAGCTAGTGCAAAATAGGGCCTGAATAATTACCGATACTATTTCTGGGTTCCTTAATCTAATGATAGTATCACATACTCTATTGTTGAGGCCTTATTTATTACCCCGGCTCAAGTTCGAGTTTCGGGGTGCTGTTTGCCGCAGTAAGCATTGGCACATCAGAAAGCGTCACGTCGCGCGCTGACCATTGATTACTGCCGAGAACAGAGCCTCGACCTCAGGTTTTAGGGGTTTAGGAGAGCCCTTTATTCTGTGGAATGCAGAGATGATCGTTCTGCCGGTAGAGAGGATGGTGATGACGATAACGACGGCGAGGAAGATTATGATGGTGGTGTTGGTGACGATGGAGCAGACGATGAGAACGATGGTGATGCTGCTGGATCGTGCTGCTGCTGCTGCTGCTACTACTGATTCTTCTTCTGCATCTACTAGAGTTACAGCAACAACAACTACTACTACTACTACTACTACTCCTGCTGCTGCTGCTGCTACTACACTAACTACTAGTACACTACTGCTACAACACTACTTCTACACAACAAAAGCTGCTGCTGCTGCTGCTGCTGCTGCTCCTGCTCCTGCTCCTGCTCCTTCTCCTGCTACTGCTACTG